CTCAGGATTGAACACTCTACAAAAGTCTCCATTGCGGTAAAGTTATAACTTGCACCTGCGGGGTAGTACGGGCCCCCAAACCTAATTTTTCCATGAAATTGTAAACAACACTAGCTACAGAAAAATTGTAAATAACAAAATTGTTGTTAATTTCCTACAAAAAAGTCTTTGGCACCAAATTGATAATATTAATACTCTTTGAGATACAGAGATTTTAAGTTGAAGTGGTATGGAATTTTGTAATATTGAGTGATCCGCGAGTTCCATATTTACTTATGAATATATGTACATATATTCAGCCTTTAGCCTTTATTTGGGCGCTCTTGCGCTTTGTAAGACTTCACGTCTGCTTGCTCACTTGATAGTAAATAGCGACAAACGTACATTTGGCAGACTGATAAGATAACGAATTGAGTATTTTGTGTGCGCAATGTACATCGTATTGTTTCTCTACAATTTGATTCGACTGTTCATAAGTTGCTGGAATGGATCAGTACAAGGTGTCGCTATTTTCATATTTTTTTGAATATTTGTCGATGTGGGGTAATTGTGAGCGAACCCTAGTTTTGCGGTCAAGAAATGTTTCGTCCCTGAAATTTGAATTTGATCTTCATAGAGGGTATAATGACAAATTTCTTCAAATCGATTATGAGCGTGAGATTAAGGGCTCTCTCGACTCAACTCATTCCCAGCTTTTTCGGTTATGTAACCCAAAAGAGTGGGAATGGCTAAAGTCCAAGTCCTATACTAGTGAAGATGTGTTGATTCCTCACTTAGGAAGGTGACGAAGCAGAAAACGGAATATGTCGGGAAGAAGCCTCGTAAACCATACTCTTTCCACTGGAAATGAACCGGATAGAATTAAAATAGAGCTTTATAAAAAAGCGATGCTTTTAAATGAATGGTAGACAATAGTCCGCTTGCGTATTTTTGGCCAAAATATATGCTTTGGGAACTCGCCTAACTTCCTTATAACCTCATTTGCTAGTAGTTTACTGTTATATTAATTAGAGTACAGGGAGCTAAGGGAATAAGCAAAGTTTTCGGTTTAAGGTGTAAGTAAGTAAATAATTAATAATTTTAATCAAATTTTGAGCCGTCGTTAGAGGTGTAGGCACATCAATCGCCGAAACTTCGGCTTTTCCATAGTTATAATAAATTGTATTCTTGTATGTTCTAGATAAGTGTGTGCCAAATAGTAATATGGTTAGATAATATACCAATCATTATCAAATAATTAGTGTCCCCTGATCATATTTGCACATGTAGTCATGTACAGTTATGTGGGCTACTTAATTTTTTATTTTCTAATCTGATATACACAACAAACCATGATAAGAAGTGATGCATTGATGACGCATTTGAAATTCTACAAAAAAAATTATAATATTATGTTGGACTTAGTAGTTCCAGCAATAGATATGGCGGCTGTTCAACTGGTACTGAAGAAATTGATTTGAAAATGACTAGTTTAATTTGTAATGCTAGAAAAGATATATATATATATATAGGTACATTATAGATGTAGAGTCCAAACAGGTACGAAATCTCATCGATTTGAGTATTGTATAAATATTGCATTGTTAAATAATGCTGGATAGAAGCATAGGAGGTATAACAGCATCTCCCACATACCCACCTTCCTACACTCACTTTTTGCATGTATCGTTGGTACTTCGGGGATTGATTTTGGCAATGCTGCATGCCCTTACGGCATTCCATATTGTCCTGATCAGTTAGTCAGCCATTTCGGAAATTTCATTGTAACTGTTTGCTGTCCAAAATCACTCCCAGTTACTTGGTATGCTCCTTAGTTAGTAACATCCGTTTACATAGGCTATCAGCTTTCCTTTCAAAATTTTCCAAAAGTTCATTAGCTACAACTTACCATAGGAGAGAGTTTTCCCTCAGGATTTTCTGTTTGCCCTAACCTGAGCAATTTGTGCTGAGCAATCAGTGCTCTTTCTACATTGAGGGCTAGCGAAAGAGGTGCAGCCTCCGTATAGGCGTGCTGTGCTTGTGACATGTTGGCTCACAAAAGCTTGTCTCCAATATAGGCGTCTAGAATTTTTTCAAATGTCTTCAGAAGGAATGAGGTTAGAGTTATTGGCCTACATATATTTTTTCGGAAAAAGGCGGACTCCTTTGCCCGCCTTCGGTATGACTGGAGGGTACGCGATTCCAATCTTCCTGTATGGATCTCAGTTAGTACTCTTAGGATTTCTGAAGATTGCACTTTTATTGAGGACACATACACATGGTTAGAAAACGAGGGTGTACGAAGCACTTCCCAATCTTTGACAGTGTTTATTTTGCTAGTATACAGTGCTACATCAAGAACCTTATTCGAGGTTGGGTCAATATATGATTGTTCCTTATCCGGGTTAGCTATAGCTATATTATTTATCATTATAAGTGCGCATTGGCGGCTGCGCTTATCACTAGAGGTCTCTTAGCTTTATTCGCCAGCCTCCAAAGTTCTAACGGTGGCGTTTCACCACCAGGAGGCATATCATCATCCCTACAGTCAAGTCATCTAAATAGAAGTTTATATCTATGCATATATGACTGCATACTTTTCTTTACCAGTACGGCTGCTCTTACCTTGCTTGTTGCAGGTTCTATAAGTATGTTAAGTTCTTAGCATATCACTTCAAGGGCTGGAATAATTGAAAGTAACTAGTAACTAGTCGGCGTTTAATACATAATGATATTATTTTCAACAGCTCATTGCTAGTAGAACACCTTGGTAATAATATTATTACCGTCATTTTCCACATAGAGTTTAAAAATGCACTATCACATTGATACGATTTTTTTTTTATTAGGGAAGGTTAATGTTGAACATTAAATAATTACGATAAGTGATTTATTTTTATTTGTATTAAATGTTGGCTACGTAAATCTTGCCACTTTCTCCACTATCGTCCAGCTTTTGCCACTGAGATAGAAATACATCGGCAGACGCATCTTTTCGAATCTAGCGAAGTAACTGGGATTGATATTAATCACCTAAATAAGTTTGTGCATTGTGTGCTCAAAACGCCTCGTTGACCTAAGAGAATCTGATGAACCAATTTTAGGAGTTTATAATCCAGGTAGTATTCATCGAATAGGATTAACGCTGATTAGTGATACAAGGAGGATTGGTTTAACTATTCTAAATATTTTTATTTTGATTTTTAAATTCTATTAATTCGTTTGTTTGATCAATTTTATCGCATTAACTTTCCAAATTAGGACGGCTTTCTTAAACACTTTCAGTTTGTATTATTTCTGTGTATGTGATTTTTTACTTCAAATTTTGAAAACGGATTACATCAAACATGTTCAAATATTCGTAAATAAATAAATCTTTCACTATAATGTTCTGTTTACCTCTAGTGAGACACAATTTTTTTTATAACCTGCAAAACTTCGAATTAAAAAATAAACTGAAACACGCTCATTTTGTTTTTATTAAAAGTGTGTGTTTTTTTGGCAAATGTTTCATCATAATTCCCGTAAATCCCGCAGTCTGACATTGCCGTTGTTTACAATTTATTAGTCAGTAAATTCTCGGTTTAACAAAAAACAAAAGAAAAAACAAAATCTACTACAATTTAATTTTATTTTGGTGTTTTTGCTTTCTGTTTAATCGCTTCTCTAGACTGAGATTAAGTTGTGCACATATGTACATACATACATACATTATAAAAAATATATGTGTCTCCATATATGTATTTATGTAGTAAAAAGTGCAAAAATCGATTTGAAGTTCGAAAAAGTAAGCAAAACAAAGTTTTAACTATATGTTTTGTATTAAAACTCTGATTTGTTTGGATTTGAGTTGCCAATTGAATAAATAGTTGTTAGTATATAATATAATTTTTAAAGAATATTTTGTGAGGTCTCGTTAAAAAATTTAAATTTTTTCTTTGAATGACTTGTTTGACATCCACCAACGTCAAGCATTACTAACTAATTTTTCGCTCGCTGTCCCCCTGAACAGGGTATATTAAATTTGCCACGAAGTTGTCAACATCAAGGAAGAAGCGTCGGAGACCCTAAAGTATATATGTATATATACCAGCGATTTAGCCATGTCTGTCCCTCTGTCTAGATCCCTCCATACACGAACTAGTTCTCAGTTTTTGAGATATCAATATGAAGTTTTACAAGAAAATGCTCACGAATATGCTCATTTGTTGAAACCGCCAACATACAAACTAACCGATTAAGCTTTAGACTTTTGGTGGCTATTTAAAATTCATTTAATATACTGCTCAGTTTGACGTGATCTGCTTGCAGCTCATGGCAGTGACACACAGATAATATACTAAATAATGCCAATAAACTCGTTACAGAAATGATACTGATTTGGTCCAGAAGTTGCTTATACAAATGCGGCGAAGGGGTTAGGTCTATTGAATAAGCTTTTCATTTACACGTAACCACTTGATATTTTTACTGTAACTGTGTGGTAACATAGCCTACTTACCCTTGCGATGGTTTTGCTATTACAAGTATTGCAACATTTTTATTTATAAACAATTTATTGTTTTTTTGTGGTTAAAAATTAACCTTTGTTTTTACAATACCGCCATTTTCCGCAACATTAATGTAAAGCCAAAATCGGTCGTACTTTACGAGAAAGTATTATGTGATCCCGTTTTTTATTTTGGTTTAGCCAGCACAAGTTTGTAGAATCATTGTGGGCCGTCGAGGCTTTATGGACAAAGGTGATCCTGAAAATTAGCCTTATATCCGACAATTTTTTAAAAATGAACATATAAACAATTTTCTATAAACTCAAGCAAATGTTAAAAAAACTTCGATTCCTTTTCAATAACTCTCAGAAAAAATTCTGAACTTGACCAGCTCTCGAATCAATAAGTGGTAGACATATTTTCTTCGTATTTAGCTTCTCCGGCCAAGTCTTTCAAGTTTACTCCACAGTCAGTTGAAAGTCATGCGGCAACCCTGGTTGCAGTTACAGCTAAGCGCCACGATAACTTAAGCTGAGCTGCTTGCTTGCTGCATCAGTTGAATGCCGGCTTTACAACAGTAAACATGTTTAAGATGAGCGATTCAGTGAAATTTCTTTTCTTTGTTGTTTTGTGCTTGGTGATTTGTGATAACACCTTGGGAGCGCAAAGAAAATGCGCCGAATACAATGAATATGTAAGTAGAAACTCACAATAATTAAACTTTAAATAGCATTTACAACAACAATTACTAACAAATGTTATTCTAGTGTCAAGAGCATTGGGAATGCTGTTCGAATACTTGTTTAACTTACTCTTACCGTTGCATTGGCAAGCGGCGCCCCGGTCCACTTTACGAGCGTCCCAGCATGACATTCGACGAGCTGCTAGGAAGTATAGCTGAGGTCAACATGGTGCATGATAATGCTCTCACGCAACCGCAAAATGGCAGTGGCAATGCAGGAAAAGCTAAGCTAGCATTGAAAAGTTTGCTCAACGTTAGGCGTGGGTGGGGCGTTGAAACGGTGGAGCCAGTTTTGCAGGAACGTTTCGCCGCGGTTCAAACGCGCAGCGACATTGCAGACACTTCAAATGGGCCAGATTACATATTCTTTGTTTTGCAACCGCAAAATATGCCGCGAAACCCGAAGCCGAAACAGTTGGAACAGCAAACAGAAATAGCACAAGACGCGCCAACAGAACCTCAGCCAACTGAGGCTTTACCAAATATGAAAGCAGAAGTTGAGAAAGCTGCTACAGCTGATGGTGAGTCGCCGGCAACAACACCGACTCAGTGCAGAGCAATTGGCGAGAAGGTAATACAAGATCAGCTTACATATCTACACACGCACACACAAATACATACTAATTGTTGCTTTTTCGTTGCTTTTTTTTTACTTTGCCTTTGCTTTCAGTGTTATCGCCATGAAGAGTGCTGCACCCAACGCTGTCATGGCTTCTTACACCAGTGCGTTACATAGGTGCCCCCTTGAAGCGCTGCCAATTATCATATGCACATTTTTATTTATTTTAAGAAACGAATTAATCTTTTTTATGGCGTAAATGTTTTTAGTATGAATAAGCAAAATATCAATCAACTATTATTGCTGTTGAGTAATTGTATAACAACAGCAGAAATAATAAATTTTGGTTTTCCTCATTTACACTCTCGTAAATATTGCTTGGCCGAAACACGACGAACCAATTAACCAATTATTTTTATACTCTCGCTACATGTAACGGTTGTTTGTAATACTTAAAACTGACTGAGGTATATAAAGTTACAGTTTGTCAATTAATTGTGTGCAAAATGAAAATCTACACGCAAATTCATTTTTAGACTTAGTTTTTAAGAACAGAAATAAATGTTTATTTTATCTTAATAGTATATGTGAATGTAACTTAAATCTATTTGAGGTACAAAAATTTCAAAAGTCAAAATAGAAACCTAAACAAACTAATTATAGAAATTTAACTCAAATATGTGTATGTCCCGTATTGTATTTAAAGATAAGATCTAACCCACTTTTTTAGTTTAACTTCTCTTAGACTGAGCCATGGTTTACTTCTCAAAACGAAGAACAACAGCTTTGCCCTCACTTTTAGATGTCACGTATTTCCTCCCACTTCTTCGCTTGTCATCTACGTTTTCAGTTTCTCCATATTGGTCAAAGCTGCCCGCTTCTGGACGATGGTTTTCTATACAGACGGTTCAATTGTTACAAGTACACCTCCAAATTAAGATTTTGCCCGATTTTGCAACTCATTGTAGAATATTATTTTATGCCAATACCACCAAATAGTGTAAAACTTTCCGTCCGACCGTCAATCCTGGCTGGTCCTCCTTTTGCGCTGGCTCTCCACCATTCAACCACGACTGTGTTTATAAGGTATTGTTCTAGGATACTCAATTTTTATCATCAGTAACCATCCATAGAAATTTGGTTCATGGTTTTGTTTTTTACATTAATTCGTGTAGCGTCTGACACTGAGAATCTTTTTGTATCGAACCTTATTTAAACGGTTCCAAATTTTTTTTGTGCAATGTTCAGCTCCGAGGAAATTGAAAGACTGTTTAAATGATTTTCAGAATCGATGATATTTTCGTCAATTGGCCTTGCAGAGCGTGACGTATGCTTTGTATCAAAATCATCGTCAAAACGGACGGATCAACTGGAACGGAATCGACGAAACTAAAATTGTTCAGAAGTTTCTTTGTGAAAATTTTTACCGTCACATAGCGTAATCTGATCGCACTTATACAAGTATGTACAACGCAATACTAGAGGTTTGGCGTAAATGGGCTCTGAACTTCTTACATAAAATGACTATCGGAATGATTAGGTCTAACAATGACTAATTTTAAAAGATTACTGCAGCCCGCGGAGATGGTCCCTCTTCTCGAATGGTGGATGTCCGTGGTAAAGGAAATACGTAACATCATCACCAGCCGAGAGTTGTGTTGGAAATAGCAAGAAAGAAAAAGTAGTTATGACTAGAAATATAATTTTTATTGTATGAAAGCCATGCAACCAGATGCCTGCGAAAATATTCTCTTCCCAGTACCAGTTTTTCTTGATATTTGGTGTACAAGGTCGGCTTCGTCAAACTTTAACTCTTGTCTTAAAATATATTTTTCAGCAACAACGAAATACTATCGGTTTGTTTTACAATTTTTGAAAAGTTACCGCGACACTTTTCTTTAATAATTTAATAAACGTTTTTAAAAAATTGTTAGAGCTCTGCTTGGTCGAAACTTTGTAGATCGCAGTCTTTTTTACGGAGCTGTTAATAACCACACTCACTCAAATAATAGTTCTGTTGCAAATCCTCACAAACTACAGTTTTTTATAGAATAACAACTAAAACCCTCCAACAAAATTCACATAGAGAGTGTGCCGTCTGTGGCTTTTAAGACTTGGCTTAAAAATTAATAGAAGTCAAACACACGCTTTGCCGACTTCTCACAGAACGTCGTTCTGATCCCATCAGTCCTTCCTAACTCACTCGCTTTCTTCAATCAATGTATGGTAAACCCTGTAAAAACTTCAATTTAAAGTTAGGCACTTCAGTATGATTCTTGAAGCAAGTCAGATTTATTGACAACGTTGTTCAGTACTTTTTATGATATAGCACATGGAAAGTAAAAAAAAACACAAAATTTCAAGTGGACACCAAAAAAGATACGAGTAAGTAGGTGAACAAGTAAGAAATTTCGCAAGTTTGTTGATAATAAAAAATCTGGAAAATGTGTCATAGCGATAAAATTGTGCGTCGCCTTCTTATATCGACGATATTACTATGGGTATGTGGTAAATGGTGATAAAATATGTTGACATCGCCTACAGAATTATACTTTTTTTATTTACATTTGTAAAGATTAAGTGAAAGTTTTTGCCAGCGAATATATAATAAGCACTAAATGGGCCATTATCGACACAGTTCAGAAACTGAAAGCGACAAGAGTGTACTCATACTTGTGATTGACTTAAAACAAGTTGTAATTACAAAGAAAGTTTATACGAGTAAATTAACTTGAAGTGAAGTGTTGGCCAAGATAATGATCACAATGAAAATAACGTTGTTGCAATTGTTGTTGGTATCGTTGTGTATTATGGTAGGGTCTTAAAGAAATATACGTGATTTCATACTCACATATTCGCATATTACTATTACTAGTTGTAGTTTCGCTCAAACTTGCTGAGTGGCGAATCGAACGCACGGCCGGCATAAATCCAATACGTCACCATAAATAAATAAAAAAGTTGTTACACTATTTCAAACAATTATCCAGGATTATTATAGGGCATGTAGCTAGGTTATCTTGTCGTTCCGAGAGCAAGTCTCAAACATAGAGAGTAGAGGTCGAAAATATAAAGCTAAAAAGAGGCTCTAAAGCTCTAAGAGACGACGAAGACGACTAAATTATCGGAGTATAATCTTTTTATTCATAAATAATTATTGAAGTAACGAAGTAAAATATTTTATTTGGTTGGCATATGATATTTGATCTCCACTTAAAAGATTTTCACGTTTTAATAAAGAAATATAATAATTCATAAAAAAGTATCCTATTTTATTATTACAAACTCTTTTCACAAATATCAAAAGTATTTCTTTATAGAATCCTGTGAAGTGACTATAGTTCCAGATATTTCATAAATCATAGGTTATAAGATCTATGTTAGATTTTGATTTGATTACTAAAAATCTGATCAGAATTTTCTAATTTCTTGAACGCAGTACAGGATTGAAACAATCTTTAATTAAGTAAGTAAGTGGTTAATACCCTTACTTGTTGTTTCCTCTAGCCTATAGTAAAACTCGAAATAAGCCGAATGATGTTTAGAATAATGACATTAAAATTATTCTAAATCAAATACCACATCGATAAATTAATAGTATAAACTCTGTTATTATATTTCAGCTTGGCTACTCTAGTCCAGTTTGGTACGTTTATGGCTACCATTCGGGTAGTAGTTTTAAGTCCGTTCCGAAAAAAACTTTAAAATAGAACATAATAGTGCAATTCTCTGAGTCGAATCTGTTTGGCTTTTCATACAAGTATAATCTAAAAATTCGAGAAAGAGTTCGCCCACAATTTAATAAATAAAAGGATCTTCAGTCTAAAACCTTTCAAAAAGGCTGAACTTTGACAATTTATTCCGGGAGTAAGGAAAAAGGAATACTTGAGAATATATTTTTAAGGAATTTCGAAATAAAATTGGTTAGAATTTAAAAGTGGGCTGTGACATGCTCATCGTCCAATTTTGACACGGCTCCCATAAAGTTAGCTTGTGCCATCCTGGATGTAAAATCTAATGACTCTGATACATTTACTTATTGATTTGTTGCACTTTTAGTAATTTTTAACAAAACTGTTATATGGGGAGTGTTCAGAGTTATCATTCGATTTCACCCATTTTCACACTATTGTAGAAAGTTTTAAAAAAAAGAGTACTGTGCAAATTTGGGTAATATATTTTTATTGGTTTGGAAGATATAATATATACATTAAACTTATTAAGGGGTGGGGTCACGCCCGATTTTTAAAGGTATCGCTCCATCTATCATTATTAGTTTTGGGTGGTACAAACAACCGTTAGGTGAACAAAACTATTTTACACTGTAGCAACATGTTGCAAGAGAATAAAAATCTTATATCTTTTAACTAACGTAATCGTGTAATATACGAACAATGCTCTACGGATCCGACTAGAAGGCAGTCAGCCGTCTAAAACTAGTTAATTGGAGAAATAAATTTCAACAGCTTTATATAGTCTTTACTTGCTAAAAAGTGTGACTGAAAAATCAGATATGCTAAAATAAGAATTAAAATCATGGGATATGCGGCGGAATGGTCCAGATAGTCAACTGAGAATCTTTCTACGAATAAGGAATGTAGTAGGATTTATAAATTATAAGCTCATCAGAAATGTTATATGCCTAAAAATAGAAACAGATAAAATATGTGAACAGTTTTCAACATATCGTAATAATATAGTAATTGATTCCCTACCATAGAACCATATATAAATTTGTATACCAATGTTGGCTTCACCAAAGTTGTAAATTATAATTTATGTTGAAATAGGCGAGAAATCTACCAATAGTAGCAATACAGTCCACTCTACTGAGGATTTTTTTCTAGAGGAGAGACATGTCATTCTTAAGTGGGAAGCTCTCAGCACATAGCTAATAACAGTACTTTGGCGAAATGAGACTTACATAATTATTGTTGTTATTTTATACTTCCCCAGTGCTTAGCTCAAAGTCCTTTAAAACTTATATCAACACTCAATAGTCGCTCCACTTATCTAGTCGCTGCTCGTAGTTTTCTGTGTGTATGGATGCGATTGAGTGGGTGAGTGTGTGTTTATGTATACTAGTAGTTGCTTCAATATCGCAAATTTACGACAAAAATTTTCAAATTACTGAGCATAAATTATATTAATATGCTCTCTTGTGTTTTCGCCCACATCACCTCCACGGCGCTTGCACTGACATTTAATAAATGTTTTTATTAAATTGCAACAACGGGCGTGTACATGCTACAAAAACAACATCAAACCGCAATGTGCCAATAAAATTACGTTTGTGCAACTTGCAGCATGCAACAAGTTTGCCGAGGGCATCGGTGACAATGCCACAGGCGGTGGAGTCGCCAAGCCAGCCGGCAGCGGTTGCGGTGGCGGCGGAGTTGGAGTCGGGCGTGAACGAAGTCAACAAGGCGATGCCGAGTTCTGTTGTGTCGGGCGATGAAGTTTCGGCTGCTGCGGCGCAGTTGATGCAGTTATTGCCAGCGGATGAGGTAAAGTTGATTGCCAATTTGTGTGGATTTTATTTAATTATAGCTAAAAATTACTTTAGTTGAGCTGTCCTGAGTTTATCTTGCCTTTTTTATTACATTTTGCCCGCTTTCTGTCATATGTTGTTGTTTTTGATTATTGCTGCAGCATTTCAATGTTTATTTTTCGTTTTCGTTCGGAAAGTTTTGTTTAATTTTAACGCTTTATTGAATCGTCCGATTGCTTAATGATATTTTCAACTATTTTTCAGCTTCCGTCGGGCAGCACAGAATGTGGGAAAGTTGGCGAATTCTGCAATTTGGCCGATGATTGTTGTACTAAGCGTTGTCTTAGTTATGCTAAAAGATGTGTGACCTAGAAAGAAATTTATTTATTTAGTCAACTATTTATCTATGTACTTATAAAAATTAATTTTTATGAAATAAATATATTTTATGAGAAAAAAGTCTGTGTTTGGATGTAGTAGTAGCAAAGAATTATCTGGAATTATTCAATGATTGATTTCATTCCACTTCGAAGTGAACTGATATTCAGCCCGAAATTCTCGAAATGAATTATAAATTATCTTTTTGTCTTCAGCATAAAACTATAAGGATAGCGATGTTAAATTTTCTGGTATGCTATATTGGTTTTTATTAGAAATATTTTCTGCCAGAAAGTGATTACTCACTCGGTGTCGGGGCTATAAGGTGGATGTATAAGACCCAACCAAGCTTCCGGAGCTTGTAGTGAGTCACTATCGTTATATGTGACCGCCTGGTCTACCTGGCAACTACTCTCCAATTGATCCAATTGTTGCCAGTACAGGACCAAATTTGATTTCGAAGAGTTTGGCCATAGTGGAACAGCTCATGGTAGATGATGGTCAATCCAAACACATAGCAAACCTTTCTGAACGCCAATTTCGGTTTTTCCACCGTTTCCACTGCTCACTTTTCAGCACCAGTAACCATCCGCATACGAAATAGATTGATTTTATTGCAATTCGGCAGCAGTTCGCAGATGAAAATTAGTGTGGTTCTAAAATTTATAAAAACCGATTGTCAAAAGCTGAATTTACAGAGCTTTGTTTACATCCAAACATGTACAAGTGACCTATAAAGCAGATTCACTGAGCGAGGTGCTCGCTTAAATTGGCTAATTTTAAATAAATAATACTCTTGTAAAATAATTGCTTTCGTTCTTATCAGTCCAAATAGAGTCATCCACCATGTGCAATTAATGACATAATACAATATAATTGTTGGAAGATATTGTTTTAAACATTTCATAATTCATTGAATCTGCTTGTTTAAAGCCTAACAATAAGTAATAAAATCTTAAATCTATTTAAAACTAAATAAGCTTAAGGTTGTGGTATCAATGTTAGTTGCACAGCTCGTCCGCCATAGTTGAATACTATACATCCAAATCGGCTTATTACTGCATTATATAGCAGAACTTTGTTGTCAAGGCTAAGTTTTGAGTTTTTATTTAAAAGCCAGTTTAAATTTGCTGCTCTTATTTTGTTTTCTCCATTTTAGCTTCCTATCCAATATATCATATGTTACATCAATTGCTTTAAGATACTATACATTTTAATCGGCTGACACATTTTTGGTCTTAGTGAAAATGTAACATGGTTACATTTTTGTTGATTTAGGTTTATTTGCCAGTTGGTTAGCCATTCTTCGATTAAAGCTAAGTGCTGCTCGAGCATTCTTGACTCTCTGATACCAAATTTTTAGGTTGTATCGTCCACAAAAGTGATGCCAATATGGTTTATATAAGATACATAGAGTTGGGTCGAGCACACTTCCCTGAGGATACCGCCTTTATCGATCGTTGATAAAATATGAAATTAGCTACTTGAACAGTAAATTTCCTATTTTTAAATAAGATTCGAATATTTTATGTAACTCAAAAGGTAATATAGTTTTAATTGTATATAAAAGGCCGTTGTGCCACACCTGAACTAATGCCTGGGCTACATCAAGGAATATTGCTGAACAGTACTCTCTGCGCTCGAATGCTCTTCTGATTTCGTTAGTTATTTTATTTACTTACCCTATAGTGCCATGTTTTGCACGAAAACTGAATTGGTGACATTTTTGATAGCAACACTTTTTCGAATATTTTGAAGATATAAAGGACTGATAAGCCAATAAGTTGCAGCTTTAAGTTAAAAGAAAACAATAGATATATGAACAACATCTGAATATAATAACTTATATATGTCAATAATATATTATAAAACTTTTGTTTGGTTAAAGGTTTGAAAAAGGTAGACTGAAATTATTAAACATAATTTAGCTTGTCTATTATATTTTAAAATAAGTGAGGAAAGTGGACTTATTATACCGAAAGCAGACTTAAATATTATAATTCAATCGCCTAAAAGTAGACAATATGCAAATGTGAGTCCTACTCGCATGATTTAACATAAAATTAGGAGCTCATTAGCGCAGACATTCTATTAGAATACGTTTGACTTTCGTTTTCTTCAGCATAATTTTCAATATATGTAACAGATATGCCTTAAAGTAAAGTAGTAATGCAATAATATGTATTGAAGTCAGATAGTATGAGCTAGCGATCGATGCAATTATCAATGGAACAAAAAGGGAAACAGAGATAAGAGCATGGTTCTTCCGTGAAAATGCTTACGCATATTGAAGTTTCAAATCCAATGACTAATCTCTATATTTCCGCTCGAAAGTTTGGATCTAATAACTATTTTAGCCGGAGGGTCTATCAGCTTTTTAAATTGATAGTCAAGAATTAATAAAAGTGATATATTGCACAATTCCATACTTAGTCACACTCCATACGAATGTGGAAATATTATATGTTATAGAAAGACTTTTGATAAGGAACATCTCAAAACTAGTTCGGATGTCCAATTTGGGAAATTTCACGGTCAGGAACTAGGTAGGATTTAAGAAATATAAAGGAAGTACTGAAGCAAGCGAAAGGTTTAGAACCTTATCTCTGCGACTGCCCAGGTGGACGTGTAACAAGCTCTGGTCGCCGTCGAACGTCTTCGTTACAGAAATAGACTTTAAAAGATAAAAGTCTAATATGGATTAAGGCTACTTAATTGTGGAATAGTGAAACAGATTGCCATTGTTCGAAGATGAAAACGTGTTCAAAAATTATACTTTAGAAATGAAAATCTGATAAAAAATTTTTTTATATATACTTTGAGATTTTGGACAATACTGTACCACCGCTCCAAGCTAGTTGAATGTATGAAAGACACTCAACACGAGTCTTACTTCGATGATATCGAAATCCTGCTCTATCTTGACTAATCGAATAGTAACAAGCCGAACTTTGGTTCGTGGTCTAACTTTTTAAATATCCTTCGAATATGTCCCTTAACTGAAGACATTTATCATGCAACTAATTGAGAAATTGTGAGTTTAAGCACCGCCAAATTGCTATACTGCTCGCTGGGTGTGTCAGGAAAATATGATAATCGAAATTATGGGTCAGTCTTGGCAATATGCGAAGTAATTAAAGGTCCGAAGCAGCAACAACAACAATACACAACGCGAAACTTCAACACCATTGCATTATCCGCTTCCAATATAATAACAAAACAATCACCGATTACAAGCGATATCAAGCAATCAATAAACTAGAAGCAGCAACAGCTGGTAGAACAGCAATTTAACAATAAAACAAACAAATTGAAAAAAAACTTTCAAGAACCTAAAAGGCAGCAGACGCTTTGAGTAAGGCTTGCTTTTCCATTTGCCAAATTGAAATCTTGTGCGATTGGATATGGAGAATTATGAATAGGGTCTTTCTGTTAATTGAAACTATTAAATGAATAAATATCTCTACTAACGTCTGCAGAATTAATTGTATTCCAAGAGCCTGAAATTGAATTACGAAAACAAAGGAAATTTACACGGACTCGAGTTTTGCCAAACTGTGGTTGGAAATGCTCATGGCTTGTGTTTGATAGAAAACTCATGAACTGATTTACCAAGCTTGATATCTACTAACCAACACATCATTCACGAACACATCTTAAAATGGCCAAGTAAGATTTTTGATGTTGGTTGGGATCTACGGAACGAACTCGGAGCCAAAGAAATCATGATTATGAGAAACCAAGTCAAGATGGTTTTGTCTACATGCACCTAATTGTGTTATATAATTGTCGACCTTTTGGGTTAATAAGACGGGAACCCCAGTAAGTATGTTTAGCATTGTAATGGCCTGCTGAAATAAATCTTGCCTAGAGTACTAAAACAATCAATAAATTGCTTGTCTATTATAGAGAAGCATGGTGTGTAATAAATGGCATATTGTTCTCGATTTTTGAGACAAACTGAAGTTGCTTGCGTATAAGGTCTTTTATCTATCTATTAATTAAAACCTAATTTCGATCGTTTAATTTTCGACGTCGGAATTGAAATTTTTTGTGCCAAAATATATTCGAAATAGTAAATTATTGTGGTATGTATGAAGTATGCTGAAACAAAGATGGAGCACCTGATAAGTGGGTAAAAAAAAAACCTATAGGTGCTCAGAGCCTTGAACTTGATAGAGAAATAGTTCTTATTTCTTAACAAGCCCAGGCACATGGTTGCTCGTACCTAATTGTAATTATTACCTTCAACGAAACAGTTATTCCCGACTATAAGTAATATTCTGGTGGCTACATAAAAGCTGATATGATTAATTTTTTGCTTTTTATCGATACTTTTTTTTTGATGGTGGAATCAGTTATTTTATTATAAAATTTATGAAAAAAAATTAGCACAGTAGTAGTTTTTAGAGCTTGCTGCGTGAACATCGATTACCTTATCAAAGAATAATTTTTAACTGTCAACGATTGCTCCTGTTATTGTTGAAACTTCCGTGCAATGTTGTTGCTGTTGTTTGTTACTTCTATTGTATTTGCATAGCTTAACTGCCACTAGGCAAACTCAGTGCTGTCTTTTCCCCATTGCCGCAAACAAATAAGAGCGTCGAGTCTACAACAATCTGGACATTCAGCGGTTTAGCTTTGCACTTTTGCCCGGCGGAGATGCTAAGACAGCGATTGTTGTGCGCCATTGTCACCATGCTGCCGTTGTATGACCGCCAGTACTAGTGGTACACAGCGTCGTCGTCGCTTGCCACTTGAGCAATATCTCATTTTAATACGCATATTTTCTAGGCAACATTATACAACAAAAACGATGACAGTAAATTCGCTTTATCTTTGAAGCTGTTTCGAGGCATTAAATGTTTAACTGCAGCTCCGATGCCGTCGGCCATAAGCAGTTCGGGCTTTCAGTGCAGCGTTATTTCGCAATCGCGCAACCAGTAAAGTTATGATGATCCATGAGTGTGGCGATATTGCAATGGGCTTATACAAAAACATTGGAGTGGGTGTGTGTCGATGAATTATGAGCGCAAGTAAACTTCTGAACACTTGTATATAGCGGAATATATTT